TATTCACATGTCTAGGCCACTAGTTACAGAGTTTTTGGTTTCACTTGGGATCATGAGTTATCTTGAGGGATGTTTTGGGGCTACCGGCCACGAGAGTTCCTCTTCATCCTCCCTCCGTTGGTGGGGGGTAGGTTATGTGGTTCAAGGCAGTACTGGTTGTTTTTGGGCTATTTGGTTAAAAACACAGGAGTTTTTCTAAGATGTTGTTCGAGATTTGGAGTGCTATTTGCTCTAATGCTTTCTCCCTTTTGTGGAGGAAAGATATTTCTCATTTTTTGGTAGCTGATGAGTTGGTTTATTATAGATTGGATTTTTGGATTCTTTGCTTTTATTTTGGCCCTTTCGTTTGGTTTGTTTTCTGGTGGTCTTTTGAATTCTTTCAGTGTTATTCATGAAAGTTTTGATTAAACTTGCATACATATACATGGTACGTTCCTAAGGCAAACTAGCACCACCACCCACATGCAGAGTCTTTCATCTCTGTTGCACTTACACATGTCTTGCCGTACTTTCATGTACCCATGATGTGCCAAGGCACATTTGCAAATTGGAAACTCACGACCATGCTCAACGTTTGAGGTCATGACACTAACACATGCTTAAATGAGGTTTCTCACCTAACTGAGGCAAGGTGCCTCTCGCCCACAAAGGCACGCACTGCACCTTTTTAAAACGGGAACAAACAAAAAATTTCCAAAAAGTAAGGTTATCATAACATGGATTTCCATAATGATGATGAGGACGATTCAAAAAATTAGAAAACTGCAATTTATGATTGTGTTTACTGAAAGTGCCCTGCAGCCCTCAATTTCATACCATAACCAGTCTATTGATGCATTTTTAACAAAACTGCTAAGCACTTGTCACTATCATAGAATGAGAGAAGCAAAAAATGATTTGCTCACACAAATCCAGAGTTCATGTATTGATTCACTTAAAAGAGAGAAACAAGATCTACCTTCATTTTCCACTAGATAATGATTTGTAATAAGACAAATTTTCTTTTTCTTTTGGATAGGGAACAATTTCATTGATAGGAAACAACTTAATAAGACAAAATATATATTAAAAGGGAACCAACCTTGTAAAGAGATGCTGCTGACTCAGATTGCAACGTCTGAACTCCTGTACGCCCAAGGGATTGCAGAGCATCCAGTGCATCTAACGTCAGCTGCCAGCCACTAAGAGCAACTGCATCTGCATTGGAGCCACTGCTCGTACTCCCAGCAGCAGCAACATTTCCATTTACCCAAGGGCAAAACTGATTGTGATGGACTATTGGGTCAAACTCTATTTCAAAATTGCTCTCCCCTTTTTGAGGCACTGAAAAATAAGTGTTTTCATCACTAACAGAAGAAAGGTGGAATTAACATGTTTACTAAGGTAAGCTAAATTTCAAATGCTAAGCCAGTTATTTAGGAGACAACATA